CACCTGAGCTGAAAGCTCAAGTGAACTTTTCTGATCACCTGTCATCTGTCTGTCCATTTGTAAACTTCTCACATTTTCAACTTCTTCCAAAGAACCACTGGGCCAAAACCAAAATTGGTACAAAGCGTCCTTTGGTGAAGGGGAGTTTAAATTGTCAAAAGAAAGGGCCAAGCCCCCTTCCAAGGGGAGATAATCAAAAAAAGACAAAAAAAGAGGGTGGGGTCATTAAAAAATCTTCTCATTGACAAGAACCACTGGGCCAGAAAAGTTGAAACTTATATGGAAGCATGTTGGGGTAGTGTAGATTCGGCCTGACTTTACCAAAGTTTTGCCTTATATACACTTTTGTTGGTCTATTCCACAGGTTTTCAGGTCATTCCACTATTTGAAGTCTTCAATGTGTTTAATGCAATTGCCCCTCAAACATTACACCTGTATATTCCCTAGATTAAACTTTGGCCCCCTGTTGTGTCTGCGCCCAACCCCCAGGGGTCATGATTTGAATTTAGAATGACTTATCATGGCTCAGCTTTTCTTGTGAAGAAGATTTTTAAAGATGTTTCCTAAATATTCCTGTAGTAAACTTTGACTCCCTGTTGTGGCTGTGCCCTACCCCCAGGGTCATGATTGGAAAAAAACTTGAATCTACACTACCTGAGGGTACTTTATAATTATATGAATAATCATGGCTTTGCTGTTCTTGAGAAGATTTTTAGCGACATTTCCTGTATATTTCCTGTGTAAAACTTTGACCCCTCTTGTGGCCCCACCCTACCCCCTGGGGTTATTTTATAAAAACTTGAATATAGAGTATGCAATGAAGCTTTCACATAACTTTCATCTTTTCTGCCCAGTGGTTCTTGATAAGCAGATTTTTATACGCCCGTCTTTAGACGGGACGTATTATGTTATGGCGTTCATGTCCGTCCGTCTGTCTGTCTGTTAGCTTTTCTCGTGTCCTGCTCATAACTTTAATACTATTAGGCCTAGGATTATCAAACTTTGTCAGCTGATACTTCTTGGGTATAAAGTGTTTCGCGCACTATAAGTAGGTAGCTCTGACTTTTAATTAAGATGCTATGGCCAAATATGGAAAAATCCTGTCCGGCTTGTAACTAAAAAACTATTGGACTTAGAATCATCAAACTTGGCCAATTTATGCATCTTAGGTAGAAGGTGTGTCACGACCTATTTCAAGGTCACTGTGACCTTTAGTTTAAGTGAAATTTAAAAAAAAAAGACTTTTTTACTGTCTTTTTACTATTAGATTACACAATCCCAAAAAATGCAAGAGTGTTGCAGTATCCTTTTTAAAAAAAATGTTAAATCAAGAAAATACTTATTATACCCCTGCTCCGAAGGAGAGGGGGGTATACTGTTTTACCCTTGTGTGTCTGTCTGTCTGTCTGTCTGTGTGTCTAGCTATCTGTCCGTCCATAGCAAATTTTTTGTCAGTTTTTCAGCAACTACTCATCGCAGAGGCTTGAAATTTAAGCACACACTTTGTTGAGGCATGTCATATGGTGGGATTCATTTTTGTACGAATTTGCTGTCAACTTCCTGTTTATCTGTGCATCTGTCTGTACCATACATAACAAATTTTGGTTGCAGTTTTCTAAGCAACTACTCATTGCAGAGGCTTGGAAATTTAGCACACTTTTTGTTTAGGCATGCCATATGGTGGGATTCATTTTTGTACAAATCCGATGTCAACTTCCTGTTTATCTGTATGTCTCTGCATACCATACGTAACTAATTTTTGTCACATTTTTCTCAGCAACTACTGATTGCAGAGGCTTGAAATTTTAGCACACTGTTTAGGCATGTCATATGGTGGGATTCATTTTTGTACGAATCTGATGTCAACTTCCTGTTTATCTGTTGTGTCCGTCTGTACCATACATACAAATTTTTGTCGCACTTTTCTCAGCAACTACTCATTGCAGAGGCTTGAAATTTTAGCACACTGTTTGTTTAGGCATGCTATATGGTGGGATTTGTTTTTGTTTGAATCCGATGACAATCTGATGTCAACTTCCTGTTTATCCCTGTGTCTGTCCGTAACTGAACTTGTGTACATTCATATTCACATCAAAGGGGGGGGGGGGATTACTAGTGAGCATTGGCTCACAAACATTTTGTTTTTCTATTATATACTTTACACAGCAATTTATAACAAATGTAATGTTACAAGAGAAATTCCACCTCTCCCATGGGTGTGATTTTCAATCACTGGTCAAGGAGAATTTGATAACAGAAAATTGCATGTCAAATTAGAGAGAAATTAATGTGTTTAGTGTGAGGAGCTAACTGGTAGAGCATCTCTGATCAAGCAGGTGTTATCTAATTTTCTCTTGGGAACTGGGCAAAAAGAATCAGCTGTGTTGAATTAAATAGTTGGCTAGCCTAACTTTTAAAATGAATTTGGTGAAAAGTAATTAAAACTTATTTGATATTGTATAATAAATTAATTTGATATTGTATAATAAACTAATTTGATATTGTATGATATAATTAAAACTAATTATAGTCAAAGGGGGGGGGGGGGTGTTATTGGAATCAGCATGCCCGTTGTCCATATGAATTGCAGCTTTAAACAAGTCTGACATTAAATCTAAAAGAAATCAAGTATTTAAAAAAAATGTTTTAATTATGGTAGATAGTCCCTACAAATCTAAGAGTAATGCAGGAACCTTATTAAAAATTTTGCATCAAGATTACACAAGTTTTTTTTTTCTCCTTTTTTAAATTTTTGTAACAAATTAAAAAAAATCATTGTTTTCAAATTTAATTTCAGAATGACATAAATATGCATTTTTATTGCACTACAAAGCAGATAGTATGTATAGATCCATACATCCATTGGGAGTAATGAGTGGACATGCATCCATGCAGTTAAAGATTAATTAATGAGTTCAGTGTAGGAAGGCTAGCTGTTTCAATCATTTCTTTTAGAGGATCTCAGATCAAGCAGTTCTTATCTGTTTCCTTTGGGAATTAGACAGAAGAACTGCTGGTTGGTTTATAGCATATGTCATTTGATGGCCAGACTTTTATTTTTAATATTAATTTGATATAGATTAAGTTGTCAAGACTAAATTGATATTGTTTAATATGATATTTTTATTTAATTTTTTGAAAATATCAACTAATTTAGAGCATCATGTCTCACAAATCAGTTGAGGATTTATAATGTAATATTTGTTAAAATTAATGCCTACACCACAGGAGATGTGTAAACAAATATTATAAGGAATGGAAAAATCATTGAAATCCTTGTATCAAGGTTGACTTGATTTTCTTGCACTTTTTTTATGACAATTGAACAATATTTGACGGGTGTATCATGCAGTGGCGGGCCACTTTATTTAAAGATGCCACCAAATTTTCACAAATTCTTAATTATCTCTCCTTGAAAGGGGGTGCTGCACTTCCTGTGAACAAACTTAAATCCCCTCCACCCAAGGATGCTTTATGGCAAGTTTGGTTAAAATTGACCCAGTGGTTTTTAAAAACGGAGGCCCTGTGTCATGGCAGGTGCTGGCATGATAAAGATCCCTCACTGCTCAATGGCCCTGAGTGCCGAATAAAGGACTAAATTTGAAGCCCTTCACAGGTATATGGTGATGTCTCTATATGAGTGAAAAATTCTCAAATGGGATGCAAAACAATTAACATACATCTTGAGAAGTCAAAAAAGTGTAAAGTTTGCAGACGGCTAACATACCCCAGACACTCTTTGATAAGAAAAGCTCACATGAGCCTTCAGCTCAGGTGAGATAAAAAGGGCTTAGATTCCACAAACTTTTTCAGTTGCTGTGTCTAGGGTTCTAAGAATGTGTTTACTAAAATGTTGGTCATCAGGACCTACTTTTGAAATTTCAAGGCTTTATCTAAATTTACTGAAAGGAAAAAGAAACGCAGAGTAAAACTATATGCCAAATATTTTTGACTGTGAGGCCAAAAATTATATGAAAACTTGTCAGAGGTGTATATTGTTTACTGTGCACATAAATCAGTGTTCAAAATTACTCAGCCATGAAATGTATGACTTCACATTTGAAAAGTGGAAAAAAGCCAAAAACACATGTATTTTGATGATGACAGGTTTGGTAACACAATTTGTAGTACTACTGGATGCACTAGAGGTTTAGCAACACTACATGAAGATGGGACTTTCCATCTTGCCACTTGTGTAATCGCCACAGCAGTACCACTGAAAATGATATTAATACAGTAGGCAATCGTAATCATACATTCACCCTAAAGCTAAAAGAAACAGATTGCTCCTTTTTGGTCTGTGAGTTTGTCATTTTTTTCGTCAGTGTTACTTTCACTTGCATATGTGTGCATTGTATGCCCAATTTTTCAGTTTGTTCAACCCCAGGAGAAAGTAAACATTCACATTTACCTGTTGTCTAGCTTTCATGAATTTTATCATTTTCTCTAATCAAAAACCTGTGGGACTAACTTGACAATAGGATTTGACAGCATCAGAATGCCCCAGCAACTCTTTACCAACTAAGGGCTGCCCTGTCCGAAGAGTTGAATGGTATCCCAATGAGAAAGATTAATGCACTGGTGAACTCCATGCAGTGGAGATTTAAGGCTGTGACAGATGCGCAAGGGAGATAATGACAATTGTTATTTTCACTTTTGGGGGTTTGTGTCATATGAATTTCAATAACTCATGAATTATCAGTCAAAATCAAATGAGATTTTGGGAACTTGTTGAGTAGAGACGAGTTTCAATGTTAGTTAACAATACTGGAAAAAACATTTTAAAAAAATAGCATGAATTCACTTCAAAAGTTTACCCTGCATTTATTTTTCTTTTCTTATATATAGGATACTAAGAGGCTTAAAATAAAAGTGATAGGTTGTAGTCAGTTTATCAGAAGAGCGATTCTAGGCCCTTGGGCCTCCTGTTTCTTTTATTGTAAATATAATGTATCTATTTTATCCTAGTAATCAATTAAAAATAATTTTTTTTCTTACAGATACGAGTAACCTTTCTCAAAGTTCATCCCACTGGTGTGCAGAAAATTCAAAATACACCTGTAAATAGACCTGGATCATTGAAGCTGAATGATGGAGAGTATCCTGAATTTTACTTCAGCAGACGCTACAATTTTTTAAAAAGACAAGATCGCAAGGATCTGTTTAAAGCTCTTTTGCTCATAAAGATAATGGGAGTAAGAAGAGAGGCAGCTCGAAAGAGTTGAGAATTAATGGCAGTTAAGTAATAAACTGGAAATGAAAAAAAGGTTCATACAGCTAATGATGTTTTTCTGGAGAACAGCCACAGCGTAATAAAAAGAATAAAATTTCAGGTGCAGTTTACCCTAAATTACCAGAGATTTTGCAGAAAACCTAAATACATGTATTCTGAATTTATTTAAGAAAAAAAGGTGAAAAATCAAATGATTTTTCATGCAAATATACATAGATGTTATGCTTACAAGTAAAAGTGCACACATATATATGGTTTTATTTTCTTTCAAAAAGGGAACTGATAGTTTGGAAATATTTAGAAAAACTGTAAATTACGTATCAAAACTTTGAGATAACAAATATGTTTATATATTTTTAGCTGACCTGAGCCTTCGGCGCAGGTGAGGTTTTCGGATCACATTTTGTCCAACGTCAGTCTGTTTGTCCACCATCACAGTAGCTCAGTCGGTAGAGCACTCGATCCGTACAGGCAAAGGCCGTGAGTTCGAATCTCGGCTGTGACTGACCTAAGTCGATAAAAATTAGGAAGCAACTGTTCCTTCGCCAGGTGCTTTGAAAGTGTAAGTTGCGGGTCCTTTGGATGAGACCTTAAAAACCTAGGCCCCGTGTCCCACAGGCATTGGCACTATAAAGATCATCCCACACTGCTCAATGGCCCTGAGTGCCGAGTAAAGGTCTTAATTTGAAGCCCTTCACTGGTATATCGTGAAGTCTCTATAGGAGTGAAAAATTCTTAAATGGGACATAAAACGACATACAATCAATCAATTGTCTGTCCATCAAGCTATCCCTCTGAAACTTTTCACATTTTTGACTTCTTCTCAAGAATCAGCAGGCCAATTTTAACCAAACTTGCTACAAAGTATCTTTGGATAAAGGGGATTCAAGATTGTTCAGATGAATAGCCATGCCTTCTTTTAATTGGAGCTAATTATGAGTTGAAGAAAAATTAATGGCATCTTTTAAAATTCTCAACCACTGAGCAAAAAAGCTGAACTTATTTGAAACCAATCTCAGGAACAGTAGATCCAAATTTGTTAAAATCATTACCCCCGGGGTATACAAGGGCCACAATGGGCCATCACATTTTTATATAAGAATCTTATGGGAAAACTTTGCTTGGTCTTATTTGTATGGAAGCTTCCTCAGGAAGTGTAGATTCAAGTTTGTTCAAATCATGACCCCAAGGGTAGGATGGGGCCAGAATGGGTGATGAAAGTTATTGTATAATAGAAGATGAACTTACAGGAAAAAATCTTGAAAAATCTACATAAGCCAAGATTAGTCTTAGAAATTTGGAAGAAATATATTTTTATTTTTTTTTCCTTTTTAACTTTAAAAAGGTTTTTTAAATCCGTTTTGTTACCTTATGGTGGTCCTCCAGAAAATTGCTCTCAGCTTTATGAAACTTGAATTGTTTATATCTGTTTTATTATGTTGTGGCTGTGCAGCTTTAGAAATGCCTGAATGTTGAAAGGATAATTTGCTTGCATGACTGTTTTTTGTTTTTAAACATGCATTCATCTATTTTCTCATATTTTCTTTTTCTTTGTGTTCAAACTTATAACTTTTTACCATTTCAAATACATATAATCACTGACAGCCAGAGAGAACTTTCATGAATGAATGTATTAAGTATGATCCCCCTCCATTTTAAACACAAAAGATGGAAAACTTATCTTTTGTTTTGTTTACATCTTTGAAATGATGAATCCTTAAATATTCAAATCCAAATAGTTTGTTATTAGACCTTTTGAGTCGCTTGAATGTCATGATTATTTGTTTCAGTCCATCATTTGTTGTCTTATTGCAAAGTTCTTTAAATTTTAACCATGGACTTCTACTTTAGACCCACTTTACAAGTATTATTGAACTGTGCTTCAGAGCATTTTATAGCATTTACAATGAAATTTTAATCCATTGTGAAGAGGGATATATGTGTTTACTAATGAATTTTTATCAGCTGTTATTTAACTCAGTAGAACTATAAGCTTAAGTTTTATGAGCTTTTCTGATCATCTGTTGTCTCTCGTTCATACGTCTACCAATTGAGCTCTAAACTTAAGCCAGTTTCGATATTTCTATAACCAAAACATGAATTTCAACAAGAAGGGTTATTTTTCAAATAAGAGCCACACTTTCTTTCAAGAGAAGATAATTTAGAAGTGGAAAAATTCGTTTCATTTTTTACAGATCTTTTTTTTTCAAAAACCATTAGACTGCAGAAAACAAAACTTCAGAAAAAGATTCTTTGGTAGAGTAAGTGAAACCTTTCACAAAAGAAGCCAGGATTAATCAAATCAGTATGTGCATTCTTAGACAATGCATAGATATTTTTTTCAAATCTTGGCTTCTAAATAAGAGAGGAGCTACAAAGGGATTTCTGTAGTTAGAGATTTACTAGGGGAATGTATCTATAGGGAAATCTATTAAAATATTTCCAATAAAAAAAACGATTTTTTCTAACTTTAACTTAAATCATGGCCACAGAGGGTAGTATGAGGCTAGAAAAATCATTCAGTGTTTCATAAAAACATTATAAAATGCAAAAATCTTTTCAAGAGTTGCCAAGGCACTCATTATCTTGCTAACATTCCCAAATTGTGCAAGCTGTGTGGATTCAATTTAGGGGCTAAAATTGAAAAATACATATTAAGCAATGCATTTGTTAAAAAAAAAAAAATATTTTTCTTCTAGAACAGCAAGGCCATCTTTGACACATTGATAAAGATTGGTAAAATCATGACCCCTCAGAGCTAAGGCTGGGGCATAATATGGCAATATCATTTAATTTTTTTTTACAAATAATGTGTGAAAAGCAATGTTCTAAATAGGTGAGTTTTTGGGGTCCCTTGTTGAAATTATATCTGTTATCTTAATGCTTTATTGATTTAAAGATATTTGGAATTATCCATTATTATTTTGTTATTACCTTGATTTAAAAAAAATGTTCAGATTTATATTTTGTTGAAACTTGATATACTGATACAAATTGGTGAGAACATTTCAACTGTCATAAGTTTTTAAAGCATTAAAACTGTGCCTACTCATATTTTTATTTATTATACATGTATTTCTTTTGTAATTAAATTATATCTTTTGATTTGATCAATGTAGTTGTTCCACATCACCAATATGTTAAAAGTTACAGTTGAGAAATTTTAACAGTAGAGACAAAATTGGTGCATCTTATTGCTATCAAGCTACAAAGATTAAATTTCTGTTGTAATATTTAAAGATTAAAACTTTATTTAAACTGGATTTACCATGACAATTACATCATATCATCATTATATATATTATATTTATGTATATATTTATGTACATTAAAAATTGCTTTTATGTAACAAGTTTATGTCTTTTATTTTTATTTTTGCATATAAGGCCCCGCAATTTGTGTGTGCCTTCAAGAGATCTTTTTACTTTCTTCTCAGGGGATGTTATTACCAGTTAAATGAAATTTCTGTGTAAGGTTATCAATTGCAATTGCTTGATTTTCTGAAAACTTATTATCAGAGATTTTAACAAGTGTTATTTCAAAGACAAAGGTGCAAAAAAATGGATTTTTTTTTTAATTTACACATAGTGTAATTGGCACTACTAGCTATAATGAGCAATGGGTAGATTGCACCTTGTAAGTTATCAGCAAGCATCCATTTGTCCATTAAGTGCTCATTCATGTCTCTTAATTTTATTTGCATATTTTACTCAGTAAAAATAAACCTGTTATTTTTAGCTCTCATGAGCTGTATATAGAGTGGTCTTTTTTCAATTCAGTTTTTGGTTAACGAAAGGCATGTGGTTAGACTTGTAAACATTGCTGAATGTGTTTAAGAAAAAGGTTAAACTTGTATGACTCATTACTTGAAACCATAATAAATACAATGCAAACGTGTAATCTTTCTTATTTTGCAAAAGCATACTTGCATGTTACAGATAAAAAGATCAAGTTAGCTGAGAATGTGATGGATGAAACATCTCTTCAATAAGGGAATGGGTGAATTTTTCTAAGATTAAATATTGGGCAACATTGGCTTGCTCAATGTCTCTTGTAACAGTGGAAAGTGTGCAGAATATTCATATGAACTATTTGAGGCCACCTTTAAAAAATGTTTGTTTACACTCTCCCGACTCAGGATGAAGAATAATTGGTTCGGTAGGTAGGAGGGACATTTTTTCCTCAGAAATTTTCAACAATAATGATGAATTTTCAAAATCTCTTGAAATTGAAGGTATTAACAGAATTAAAATAATTGTTTCCGGCATGAGAAAAATATGGAATGAATTTAAAAAAAAATATCTTTTCCTGGATATTTTAAAAAAGGTTTGAGTCGGGCCAGTTTTAACCAGTCTTTCGGGAGAGGGCAAACAAAAAATTTTAAAGTCTGCAGTAGGCAAAAGCGGAAAATACCTCAAAGCATAAGTGAGAATGTAGGGACAAGCAGTTTATGTGAAGAGGCAGGCATTTTCATAGATGTTGAAGTAAATGGAGTGAAAACCAAAGTTTTGATTGATACTGGCGCTTCCTTAACTTTACTGTCTAAGAGAATACTTAGTATATGACTAGAAGACTAATTGTTCTCGAACAATTAGAGGTCTTTCCACCTTCTTTAAATTTCATATATTCTTCACATTTAACTCTCTACTGCTTATTTTTATACAAAAGAAACCAGAAATGGCTTGAGAGATGGAAAAAATGAAAATTTTAAAATTATTGAAATGACCTTGACCAGTGACCTTGAACAAATATTCAAGGTCAAAGGTCAAGGGTCACATTGCAATTAACCCCATGCTTCTACGACTTTAAGTTTTAAAGTTATAAGGTTTACTAGTAAGCGCAAAGACGTTAAAGGGCGATAACTCATATAAGGGGTCACCGGATACTTTCACACTGATAGATTAAAGTTGTGCCTTAAGACCCTTAAGACATTAGTGAAGGTTTCATGTCTCTGCGGTTTACGGTTTCGGAGGAGTAGCGATTACAAGGTTTTTCGCACAAGGGGCAATAACTTTTAAAAGGGTTAAGCTTAGGGGACAAGATTGAAATCTTTGAAATAGTTTTAAAAGTACATATAAAAGATGCAAAGATATAGTGTATATGTTGAAAGACAAAAAAGCTCTAAAAAGAGCTTTATTTCTCATATTTGGAGTGACCTTGACCTTTGACCTTGACATAATCTTCAAGGTCTAGGGTTAAAGAATCTAATGCAGTTGGTTTCATGTCTCTAAGACTTATATCGTTTTGAAAATTTTTCATTATTTGTAAACTTCAAAAAATTTTCAGGGGCAATAACTCATAAAAGGGCTGAACAAATCCTTTCGTAATGAATAGATTGAAAAGTCTCCTCAATTAGTTGAAGACATTGGTGAAGGTTTCGTACCTCTATGGTTTACGGTTTCGGAGGAGTAGCGATAACAAGGTTTCTAGTGAAAGGGGCAATAACTGCGTAAGGGGTCATAGGTTATACGCGTTGGGTCAAATTTGTTCATAACTTTTTATGACCTTTACGATGAACAAAAAATCTTTTCGATAAATGTCGAAACAAAAAATCAGCGGAAGAAAAATAATAATAAGAAGAAGAATAATAACTAGTAAACTAATTGTTCTCGAACAATTAGAGGTCTTTCCACCTTCTTTAAATTTCATATATTTTTCACATTTTACTCTATAAAGTTAATTTTTATACCAAAAGAATCCATAAATGGCTTGAAAGATAGAAAAAATGAAAAATTTAACAAATTTGAAATGACCTTGACCTTTGACCTTGGACAAATTTTCAAGGTCAAAGGTCAAGGGTCACATTGCACTTGACCCCATGCTTCTATGCCTTTTAGTTTTGAAGTTATAAGGTTTAATAGTAAGCGCAAATACATTAAAGGGCAATAACTCATATAAGGGGTCAATGGATACTTTCGCACTGAATAGATTGAAGTTGTGTCTAAAGACCCTGAAGACATTAGTGAAGGTTTTGTGTCTCTACGGTTTACGGTTTCGGAGGAGTAGCGATAACAAGGTTTTCAGTAAAAGGGGCAATAACTTTTAAAGGGGTAAATCTTAGGGGACAAGTATGAAATCTTTGAAATAGTTTTAAGAGGACATATTAATGATGCAAAGATATTTAGTATATGTTGAAAGACAAAAGAGATATAAAAAGAGCTTAATTTCTTATATTTTGAATGACCTTGACCTTTGCATATATTATATGGTCAAAGGTCATTGAATCTTATTCAGTTGGTCCCATGTCTCTATAACTTATTGTTTTGAAAATTTTTAATTATTTGTAAACATCAAAAACTTTCAGGGGCAATAACTCATAAAAGGGGTTGACGAATACTTTCGCAATGAAAAGATTGAAGAGTCCCCTCAATTAGTCGAAGTCATTTGTGAAGGTTCCGTACCTCTACGGTTTATGGTTTCGGAGGAGTAGCGATAACAAGGTTTCTATCAAAAGGGGCAATAACTGCGAAAGGGGTCATAGGTTATACGCGTTGGGTCAAATTTGTTCCTAACTTTTTATGACCTTTACGGTCAACGAATAATCTTTTCGATAAACATCGAAACAAAAAATCAGCGGAAGAAGAATAATAATAATAACTAGTAGACTGATTGTTCTCGAACAATTAGAGGTCTTTCCACCTTTAAATTTCATATATTCTTCATATTTAACTCTCTACTCTTTATTTTTATACAAAAGAAACCAGAAATGGCTTGAGTGATGGACAAAATGTAAATTTAAAAATTTTGAAATGACCTTGACTTTTGACCTTGAACAAATATTCAAGGTCAAAGGCCAAGGGTCACATTACAATTAACCTCATGTTTCTACGACTTTTAGCTTTAAAGTTATAAGGTTTACTAGTAAGCGCAAAGACGTTAAAGGGCGATAACTCATATAAGGGGTCATCGGATACTTTCGCACTGAATAGATTGAAGTTGTGTCTAAAGACACTGAATACATTAGTGAAGGTTTCGTGTCTCTGCGGTTTACGGTTTCAGAGGAGTAGCGATAACAAGGTTTTTCGCACAAGGGGCAATAACTTTTAAAAGGGTTAAGCTAAGGGGACAAGATTGAAATCTTTGAAATAGTTTTAAAAGTACATATAAAAGATGCAAAGATATAGTGTATATGTTGAAAGACAAAAAAGCTCTAAAAAGAGCTTTATTTCTCATATTTGGAGTGACCTTGACCTTTGACCTTGACATAATCTTCAAGGTCTAGGGTTAAAGAATCTAATACAGTTGGTTTCATGTCTCTAGGACTTATCGTTTTGAAAATTTTTCATTATTTGTAAACTTCAAAAACTTTCAGGGGCAATAACTCATAAAAGGGCTCAATAAATCCTTTTGTAATGATAGATTGAAGAGTCTTTTCAATTAGTCGAAGACATTGGTGAAGGTTTCGTAACTCTACGGTTTACGGTTTCGGAGGAGTAGCGATAACAAGGTTTTTCGCACAAGGGGCAATAACTTTTAAAAGGTTTAAGCTTAGGGGACAAGATTGAAATCTTTGAAATAGTTTTAAAAGTACATATAAAAGATGCAAAGATATAGTGTATATGTTGAAAGACAAAAAAGCTCTAAAAAGAGCTTTATTTCTCATATTTGGAGTGACCTTGACCTTTGACCTTGACATAATCTTCAAGGTCTAGGGTTAAAGAATCTAATGCAGTTGGTTTCATGTCTCTAAGACTTATATCGTTTTGAAAATTTTTCATTATTTGTAAACTTCAAAAAATTTTCAGGGGCAATAACTCATAAAAGGGCTCAACAAATCGTTTCGTAATGAATAGGTTGAAGAGTCTTCTCAATTAGTCGAACACATTGGTGAAGGTTTCGTAACTCTACGGTTTACGGTTTCGGAGGAGTAGCGATAACAAGGTTTCTAGTGAAAGGGGCAATAACTGCGAAAGGGGTCATAGGTTATACGCGTTGGGTCAAATTTGTTCATAACTTTTTATGACCTTTACGATGAACAAAAAGTCTTTTCGATAAATGTCGAAACAAAAAATCAGCGGAAGAAAAATAATAATAAGAAGAATAAGAAGAAGAAGAATAATAACTAGTAGACTAATTGTTCTCGAACAATTAGAGGTCTTTCCACCTTCTTTAAATTTCATATATTTTTCATATTTTACTCTCTGAAGTTAATTTTTATAGAAAAAGAATCCATAAATGGCTTGAAAAATAGAAAAAATGAAAAATTTAAAATTTTGAAATGACCTTGACCTTTGACCTTGAACAAATATTCAAGGTCAAAGGTCAAGGGTCACATTGCACTTGACCCCATGCTTCTATGTCTTTTACTTTTAGAGTTATAAGGTTTAATAGTAAGCGCAAAGACGTTAAAGGGCGATAACTCATATAAGGGGTCATCAGATACTTTTGCACTGAATAGATTGAAGTTGTGTCTAAAGACCCTGAAGACATTGGTGAAGGTTTTGTGTCTCTACGGTTTACGGTTTCAGAGGAGTAGCGATAACAAGGTTTTCAGTAAAAGGGGCAATAACTCTTAAAGGGGTAAATCTTAGGGGACAAGCATGAAATATTTGAAATAGTTTTAAGAGGACATATAAATGGTACAAAGATACTTAGTATACATTGAAAGACAAAAGAGATATAAAAAGAGCTTAATTTCTCATATTTTGAATGACCTTGACCTTTGACCTTGACATAAATTTCAAGGTCTGAGGTCAAAGAATCTTATCCAGTTGGTTTCATGTCTCTACGACTTATCGTTTTGAAAAAAAATTATTATTTGTAAACTTCAAAAACTTTCAGGGGCAATAACTCATAAAAGGGCTCCACGAGTACTTTCGCAATGAAAAGATTGAAGAGTCTCCTCAATTAGTCGAAGACATTGGTGAAGGTTTCGTACCTCTACGGTTTACGGTTTCGAA